CAACCTTCAGTCACATAGTTTGCCCGTAATACTGTGCACCATGCTCCTCCTAGTCCATGTCCATGAACCCATCTTGGTCATATCATTATGTATGCCCTGGGACCGAGACATTTGATTACAATTCAGAGGAAAAAATTTGGATTTTTAAAAATGGCGTAGCATGGTCGTGTTTTTGCATGTCAGTCGTGTAGCAACTTGTCGAGAGAGCGTATACACATGTAACGTATAATTACGATAGCCTTTGCTTTCCATTTAAAACGAATTCCAGCTTGTCGTGTGCCCACTCCGTCCGGCCCTGTGAACATTAAAAATCGAGTTCTGTGGTGTAAAACCGTACTTATTATGGTAGGGTTGAAGCTTGTCCGTTATTAGGTTGTAACAGAATTAATGCAGGTTTTGAATTCCAACCGCAATAAGTCATACACTTCTCATTTCTAAGTAGGTTGCAAAATACCATTCGATAGAGCAAAGCAATCTCTACAAGGTGGCAATCTTGCTTTAGCAACAACTCTGATTCACCACGAGTTTCGAGCCAAAAACTAAAAAGATTCAACTGTCCGAAAAATTGAGAAAAATCGTAACTCAGTTCATAAAAAACCTACAAAAATTCTAACTTGCTCACGTAAACACTATTCACATAAGACATCTATACACGCCTTTGCCGTATTTTTTCTCTGTTAGAAATCAAGAAAACGGAAATTTTTGTGTGTTTGCAAAGTGATGCTGTGCCGTTCCCACATAAGTAGTTGTATACTACAAACCTGTAGAAGTATAAACGTGAATTTCCAGCTCTCTACAAGCTTTAGTTCTCGAAAAATATCGGATACAGTTTTCGCTAGTCATGTGGTCCAAGCTAAAATTCGAATTTCTCGAGAACTAAAGCTTGTAGAGAGCTGAAAATTTACGTTTGTACTTCTACACATTTGTAGTATACAACTACTTATGTGGGAACGGCACAGCATCACTTTGGCAAACACACGAAAATTTCCGTTTTCTTGATTTCTAACAGAGAAAAAATACGGCAAAGGCGTGTATAGATGTCTTATGTGAATAGTGTTTACGTGAGCAAGTTAGAATTTTTGTAGGTTTTTTATGAACTGAGTTACGATTTTTCTCAATTTTTCGGGCAGTTGAATCTTTATAGTTTTTGGCTCGAAACTCGTGGTGGATTAGAGCTGTTGCTAAAGCAAGATAGCCATCTTGTAGAGCTTGCTTTGCTCTATCGAACAGTACCTTGCAACCTATTCAATAATGAGAAATGTATGACTTATTGCGGTTGGAATTCAAAACCTGCATTAATTCTGTTACAACCTAATAATATCGGGGACTACTGATACGGAATACTCTGCACTAATGCTCCTCCTAGTCCATGTCCATGACTGTAAAAGAAACATTTGCAACTCAAAGTCTTGAAGACGGCGCGAGCAAGATCGTGTTTTTGCATGTCAGTCGTGTAGCAACTTGTCGATAGAGCGTATACACATGTATAGTTAATACGTATAATTATCGTTAGTTCGCTTTCGCTAGAGTGGGCGGAGCACTGTCTACGTACACGCGCGGCGGCTTTTGATGGCGAGAGAGTACGAAAAACAATTCTCCAGGATGGAGGTTTATCGATCGATAACATGTCATGCCATGTCTGCAGTGGTCCGCCCACTCTAGCGAAAGCGAACTAACGATACCATATCCGCTTTGCTTTTTAATTGTAACGAATTCCAGTTTGTAATTCGCCCACCTCGTCCGGGCCCTGTGAACATCAAAAACGAGTTCTGTGGTGTAAAACCGTACCTATATGTTAGGGTAGCTTCGTCAATATCATGAACTAGCAAAGTTTACTAGAACTTCCTTTAACTCATATATCGAGAAGGCTTAGCAGTTCCGTGACCCTCATTTAACATGAGCAAGAGCATGAAATCCCCAAACCAGCTGTTTGTTGAGGCCAATTGACTTTCGATGTTTTAAAATGCAGTGATTGATTTTTCTTCGATTAGAGTAGCAGTAAATGTTGAGGACGTTCGTAAATGTTGAGGACGTTCATACTTCAAGACGTAGCTGTACAGGTTTCGTCAGTCAAAAAATGTAGCAATTCGAAAAAGCAAGTGGATCTATGATAGTGTCCAGCTTCCAATGCGAGCTTTCCCGAAATTTTCTATTTTTCTTGTAGAGAAAACAATAAAAAATTGATTTATAAAGTACGGCTCATCAACAAGGACGCGAATTACGCTATTTTTAGAGTGAACTGACTGACTTACCCTGCTCCACCCGGTCTCGCCAAAACTGATAATGCTCTCTCCGTATCCCTGTACAACCTTTCCCTGTGCCCAAGTCTACATGCCAATTCCCTATTCCCGCTGTTTCAATAATCAGCATGCTCGATTACCCCCCCCCCCCCTAACCTTGCAAAAAATCGATAAAATCCACAAAAGTAGCGGTTAATTCTAGAAACTAATATTGCACTCGTAATCAGCATGCTTGATTACCTCCTGTGCCCATTCCCACCCCCGCAGCTCAAACCTTGCAAATCGATAAAATCAATATCGATCGATGACAGAAAGTAGCCTATGACACCCGCCCCGCCTCAAAGTGTATGTGTGCCAAGTTTGGTCCGAATCGGTTCAGAGATAAAAAATTTCTATTTGGAACATACGTACAGACAGACACACAGACATACAAACAGACACTCAGCTTCATATGCAAGAATTTCCAATACTGTGCAGCACTGTGTTAGGATGCTTTATGTGGTAAACCTCGAGCAAAGCGACCCCAAAAATGGATTAAAATTCCACAAGCATTTCTCAGAGCTAAAAGTCAAATCCACTGAACGCTTGAAAAGTCGAGAACAAACAGTCCGCTGTAGAGACTTCATTGACTTCTTTCTTGCTTAGATATATATTCTTCACATCAACATTCAAATTTACATTTGTTGTGTTTTTCCACTTTCAACATTGAGAAGCATGAATGGTCAAGATAGGTCAAAATGTGAGAGTGTCGCCTTTTTCGGGTTTTTGAGCTAGATTTAATTTTCATAATCTAAAATTTGCAAAAGACTGAAATACATATATGGTTCACTTATAAAATCGTGACGACGGATTTTGCTGCGGACTTTGCGCCCACAGGAGCATAAAACGCTCATACAAAAAGGCATCACCCCAACGTTCGGCTCAGCCACTTCCATTGCCTAAATATTATCATACGTAAGCAAAGAAACCATTCGACTGGAGATGAAAACCAAGAAAATGCGACTTCTGGAAGTGGCGTGCGTGTCGCGCGCGGTCGCGCCATCGTCATGATTTTTCAAATGCCCTATATGTGTCTGGTTCTTACTGTAAAAGAACCTACATGCGAACACAACCGACTTTGACAAAAACGTAAAAAAGTATTGTTTTTTCGACTCCCACCATGAAAAATCAAACAAATGTGTGGGTATATGGTAAACAGTGTTCAGTAGATTAATACCAAGCAGGACGTTCGCGGTATTTCTCGGACGGAGGGTGGAGATATTGCGAACGGTATATTTTCTTGGTTTTTCAGGCGTTCGGATGCCTTTAATTTTTGGGTCAAACATTGTGTGAAACAAATTTTCGTGAATGTTTGACATTACTAACTGTTTACTAACTTTTACTAACTTTTGCTCTATCAATTCAATCCTCAATCAATGTTCTAATACCTATTCGGAAACCAAACGCGTATACAAATTGGGAGAGAGATTAGAAATTGGCAAGAATTTGTGAGACAATCATATATTAGGCCGGTGCAAAAGTTTTGTCAGATTTTTGGAGTTATCGCTGCAAAAGATGGACCTTGAAGCGAGAAAACTGCTTCAGAGGTAGTCGCCACGTTGGACCCCCCATTAATGGAGCAGCCTGAAGACAAAACTTTCGAAATTAGGCTTCAGGGTGAACAGAAGTGTCAAAATCTTATAATCACAATGAAGGGCGGGTTTATGACAATTCTATAGATTAAAGTCCGATTTTGTTTTATCTTTGGATTACCTACGTTTATGGGCGGAGCCGTGGAGATTCTACCTTCTGGAGCGGTTTTCTCGCTTCAAAATCCACCTTTTGCAGCAAGACATGGGCAATTTAGCGAAGGAGCCCTCCATTATATGACATCAGAATCTCATTATTCTCAATTTGGGCGAACGTGCCTTCAAGCGAAATCCAATGTAACATTTCTTACTCTCTTGACTAACCACTAATGCGATACCTTCGCAAAATTGCGGTCAATGTAGCAACGGCCCTTTCTTTTTTTGCTAAAACTGAGGGAGTTTCTTAGTGTAACCAAATAAGGTTCAAAAACAGGATGTGTGGAGTGAACACAATCCGTGCTCTCATTTCACAGTAAAAATTAAGGTGTGCATCCATTCTACATGGTTATCGAACCCGATGGCAACGCTCATGGAGTGCTTATTTTCAATACCAATGCTCAAGTAAGTTTATTCTCTACTTACAGGTACATATACGAGAATTCTCTACAGTATGCACGTTTCTCTAAAGTAACTATTCTTCACTTACTTTTTCTCGTAATTTCGAAAGACGATGTTCTCTTCTATACCAAAGCAGTTGTACTGCTAGCACACAGTTTTTGTTGTAGTTTCTTCGTCTTTTCTGATTTTCTTTTTCACAAAATTTGATCTTACAAAAGGCACAGCTTTTCTTTTACTTTTAGTAGAGAAAATTTTAGTACAATACGATGGAGTTCTAATGAGCATCGAATAACGAGGCGTATATATATAGGCAGAACGCATAATACATACCAAACATATTTTCTTCAAACATATGCAGTTCTACATTAGACTCATGCTGGCAATCACTATCAATTTTGAGCGAAAAAATAAAAGAAAGGAAAAAAACCGATTTTTTCCTAAACTCGTGCAAAATATTTCGAATATGAATCGTTTTCTTGCAGGAGATTACCACTTTACCTGGACCAGCTCTGTCTTACCGCACGCTGGGTGGAAATCTCAACCTTTTTTTCTTCGCAGGCCCAACTCCTGAAGAAGTCATTCAACAATATCTTGATATGATTGGTAAACCCTTCCTGCCTGCTTATTGGGCGCTTGGCTTCCAAGTAAGAAGAAAATTAGGCTTCGGTCATGACGCCAATATTTAGCCTGCTTGCAGTTTGGCTATTTGTTGCACGGAGAAGTCGATACGTTGGAAGAATTCGTTGATGATATTATCAACAATGGAATACCTTTAGATGTAGTGGTGTATGATCACGACTTCCTGGATAAGTTTAAAGAATTCATCATTAAAGTACGTATTGCGCATTGAAGCATGATTTCAACAATACTTCAGCAAGATATCGACAAATGTTTCAGGACACCAGGACTTCAGAATACGTGAATAAGTTGCACAGCATAGGAATACGAAGTGCATTTGTCTCCAATCCCGGCATTGCCGTAGACTACGAACCCTTTGAAAGAGCGCTTGAAAAGGTTTTTTTTCACGATTTCAACCCAGGTTATTACAACTTTTTCACTGCTACATAATAGAAAGCTCGTTTCATAGAATGGGAGACGAAGGAGCAAGTCATGACATCCATTCAAGTGGGATTACATTTGAGTTTGTCTGAATTAAATTAATGTGTTTAGAGCAAATACCCACTAGCGCAGAATACAAAATATATGCTTGGACTACAAAGGCCGAAAGTACATACTGCTTACCCTGATTTTCTGGACCCAAGCAATAATACATCTGAATGGTGGATTGATGAGTTCAAAAGGTTTCACGAACAGGTGTAGCTATGATCTAACTTCGAAAAAACCGCTAAGAGAAGAAAATGATATTTATCACTTACACAGCATAATTTGGCGGCCTTATTCGCAAGAAGTAAGGCTCTTCCTCAGCCCATTGGCTACTTTTGATACTTCAATATACCTACGAAGGCTAAATTTTTCAACTTGTCTAAGTTTGTGATCCGAAATATACCAGAAAATATGAAGCTGAAAAAGGATGTTTTATTATACATTTACGTCTGTACGTCTTCTATCACCTACAATTTGGACCATATTTTGCAGCTCAGGGTTATGTTCAACCAACAGGTCCCACAGTCTTAAATTTTTAAGAGTGGTTGAAAATGTGTGTCCTCTACGCAAGGTGCCAATAATGAGTGTAACATTCGTTTCAATTTCTTGCGTCATACGGCTCGGGTACGATCAGGGCTCGGCACAGGTGGCTTGCAAAGCATGCCGGATATCGTTTTTGGGGGAAAAAGCAAAGGGGATATCGTTTTTGCGGAAGAGCATAACGCTGTCTTTCGATCTGCTGCCGACACGCTGCCGGCATGCCGCCAGCAAATAAACAACGGGTTTGCTTACAGCGAAGTGAAGATGAAATGGCACCGAAATAGGTGTGTAGATAGGCAATGGGGAGTTGGGAATATGTATGAAAAATTATGAAAAATTTATGTGAACTAAGGGCATGGCAAACCTTTTTCGGGTTTAGGTGGCTTTCAAGCCACCTGGGTAGCCACCTGAGGTGGCTTAGCGCAAACAAAGTCATATAATTCCTACTCTTCACATAATTTTTTCATATTTTTTATACAAGAGAAATCTACATCCAATATTCTACAAAACGGCTCTTGTACCTCCCCAAACCCTCTCCTCCCCGCCTAGTTATAGCCCTCAAAATTGTCTGGATGGCAGCGGCAAAGGTGCTCCAAGCTCGCGGCGGTACGCGGCGGACACAGCATGCCGCCAACCCGGAGAATACAAACAATCACTAGTTCTTATTCCCTATTTATTGTCGGTTTTGTAGTCTATTTCATGCTTTTTGTTTTCATGTTTGATTTGTTCGTTAGCGTGTCAAGGGGATGTCGTACTTTTGTGGCGAAGTCAAGGTGGACTTCGTTTTTTGCATTTTCAACTAGCCACCTCGTGCCGAGCCCTGGGTACGATAGCCATTTGTACTGAGCATAGAAATGTATTCATTCACCTACTGACAAATTCAATATCCGTCTTTTTCTTCAGGGTCTCACAACGGAACTGCGGTATTGATACGGTGAAGTTTTCGAAAAAAATGAGTTGGTGCAAGACTATGTTTGCTCTCAAACATTTCGGCTCAGAGACTTCCTTGAGTTATGATTTAAATATGCAGTTTATAGCATAACTCATTGAAGAACACTGTGTAAATTTGCACAAATTTCTAGCTTTTTGTAGTGGTTTTAGAGCTAAGAATATCAAAAGAAAAAATTTCAAGATTTGGCCTCTCAACTTCAAAGGTATCAAATTTCTAAATCTATTTACTTCAATCAAAACGAAAAAAAGCTCAAGAAAATAGAAGAAAAGAGGTTTCGAATGACATATGAAACTTTCTAGGAAAATGGTTTCTCGTTCTGAACCAGCATTTTGAAATAATTGTACGGAGAATCTGCATTAATTCTGTTACAACCTAATACATAGGATCTTCTCAATCTTTCTAGGGGGGGGGATTGCAAAAAATTGAATTAAAATAGATAATTCCGGTTAATTTGCACAAGCAACAGTGAGCCCGCCCGCTGATCTCTCTGTTCGTGCATTCAAGTTCAAAAAATTTGCATCTCTAAGCAATTTGAGCCAAGTCTCATGCTTAATTCTTGTTATGATATACATGCCGTAATATTACCATGCAGCATCGCGATTTAGGACCACATATTTTACAATTCCGTCTGGGTGTGTTGAAACACCCCGATATTCCACAAAATACTTTTTTAACACGTTGATGACAACGTGCGTTTTTAGTTGCTTGCCTCCTGGAACAATGTCTTCCACAGATAAGTGAAAACTTTTTGGCTAAAAAATGGCAGATCTTCAAACGGTATATCTACAGTAATTCTATGAAGCAGACGGAAAATAAAGGGCATTTTTAGGGTTAGAGCGTAAGAGGATTTCTGAGACGAATTCATTCCAAAATAGCAGTTTTTTCAGCAAAATTTAACCCATGACCCACCATGTGGGCCACATTGTCCCAGGTGGCAGACGTTGCTTGACCCACCATGTGGGCCACGTAGCGCCAATGTGCTAACTAGCAGTTCAAACTTCAGTAGTATAAAGACCTACGATCCATAATTGAGTCGTACGGCCCGACGGCAGGACATGTACAGCTCAGCGTTGAATAGTATTGTTGTGAGCTTTCTCACAGTGGCACAACCGTAACGCATGGAGCATTGAAACGAGGACACAATCGCATAACTTTGCATTTCCATTTTTTAGAATAGTAATGTAGCCTTTCCAGGTTTCCTTTGATGGTATTTGGATTGACCTAGATGAGCCAGTCAGCTTCGCAACCCACGGAGAAGTACTTGTCATCTTCGGCTCGCATAATTATGACGAACTAAAGCCCATCGAGTGTGCGAAATCGACCACGGATAACGGCTGGGAATGGGATGTACCACCGTACCCTACGGGAGGTGCAGGGTCGAAAGTATATTTCGGCTCACTAAACATCAAAGTAGCAATCTTGATTGTTTTTTTTTATTTAGACTTACCTGGCATCGGGAACTTTATGCATGCTAGCAAAATTAGGTGGAGGCGCCCAACGTCTATACGATGCAAAAAATTTGTATGCGTTAAGCGAAGCTAAAGTAACTTTGCAAGCATTATACGAAGCAACAAAGAAACGTGGATATCTAGTATCAAGGTGAGAAGCTGTCTCAAAAGAAAGAAATCAAAACCGTTCCTGGAATAAGGGTTATATGTCGCCCCTTGGCCCCTTGGGCATACTTACCTCTCGCTACTTCAGTCGCCACTCGATTTGGCCATTTGCCAAATCTCTTCAAACCTAACACTCGCAGACCACAAATGTTTGGTGTATTTAACTTTTACGAGTGATAAGATGTGCTATTCGTCGAGTGCTGAAATTGAGTTTGCGAGAAGTTATGAGCAAGTGGAGTATTGCCAAGTTGCGTCGCGACTAAAATCGCGTGAGGTATGCTCGAGGCCATAGGCAGGGCTCGGCACGAGCTGGCACCAGGGAAATTTCAAAACGAAGTCCCTTTGATATTGAAAATTTCGTACGAAGTCCCTTTTGACCTGTTTTAAAAACCCGTCATCATTTTTATATTATTTAAAAAATGTAGTAGTGTTTTCATGCATTTCTGATTTCATGAAAGAACTTTTCACAGTTTCTGAGCCTTTTAAATGGTCGAATCACATCTTGAGAAGCAGAAAAAGCCGATTTTTCGACTGCGGAGCGGACCGAATGGTTTTCAAATTGCTATAAAACGCTGAAAAGAGAGCATTATGAAACTGTTTCCTCTCCGTATGTAATCTTTTACAGTGTAGATACATTTTATGTAAGAAAGTATGAAAACTTATGCGAGCAAAGTGTCGGTGCCAGCTCAGCTGGCACCCAGCTGGCACGGTGCCAGCTAATTCAGAAAAAAGTTCGGCACAGCTTTCATTCACATAAGTTTTCATAAATTTTTGGCCCGTAGTTCCGGTCCACCAGCGCGCATGCACACACCAAATTTGGTGTCATACTATTGCGTTTTGGCTGAAAACAACGTCTTTGTTTGTAGATGGACAGCTTGCCAATGGCATGCCGGTGGCATGCCGGCGGCATTTTTGCGGCAGTTCTCCGCCTCGGCCCCTGTAGAAACGATATCTATCCCCTTTGCTTTCCGCCCTAAAAACGATATCCAGCTTGACCCAGTGCCAGCTGTGCTGAGCCCTGGCCATAGGCTCCTCCTGCGCGGACAGTTGGTACAACACTGCAATGCCTACAATGCCTACAATGTAATGTATGGAACTGCGTACTTTGTCGTAGATGTCCGCGAAGCCATCTCCTTTTAGCGACATATAATCCTCCCCCCCCCCCCACGTTCCTGCTTACCTTGCTAACCCTCGCTTAACTTCGCATTGTCGGCCGCAAATGCATCGACGCTGAGAACGCCCTAGCTTTTACACAAAAATTTCGCTGAGACAAAAAAAAACATTTTGATGATACTGGATGTTTTCTTCAGAAGGGCTTGTCGCGTGCTTGATTTGAGATATACTAATGACAACTCAACATTTCCATATCTTTTTATCCGACATGCCTATCAAATACCATGGCCTTTTTGCATGATGAGCCATTGCATGGAGTTACGGAGGTATACAGTATGAGGTCAAAACCACGCATTTGTTCCAAAATTTCAATAGGGTTATTTGGCGCGCTGAACGAGCAAGCAAGCACGATATTCGTGATTAGCATGTCTGATAATCCCTATGCGCAAGATTTTAGGCAGATTCATAGTTTGCACCTCTACGTACACCTACCGTAGCCCCATGTAAAGGCCCCCCAAAATGCAGAAGACGTATGACATCTGTGACCAGCATATCAAATGCCCCCCTCCTCTGGGCCAACTTTTAGCGAAATTCATGGTGTAGATAGCTTCAGCTTACAACCTAGTCATCTCATATATAAAGCTGAGCGGGGAGCGTGTCATAGGCTACTTTTCGTTATCGATCGATATCGATTTTATTGATTTTTTGCAAAATTATTTGAGTTACGGGGCTGGGAGTTGGCATAGGGGGTAATCGAGCATGCTGATTACAAATATGTTATTGACAGGGCCAGGGGCGGAGCCGGGTTTGCCAACTAGTATAACATATCGAACAAAATAGAGAACTTAGTTAATAAATACGAAAGCATCGAAACATCGAGAAACACCGCAAGTCAGCAAAATTGGAACTATTTTCAAATTCTTAGATCAAAAAACAATCCTAACATATAACAAGGGAAGGACCCTGGGTCGAACTATGGTCACCACACGCGTTGCATATCATCCTGCTGGTCTTAGGGCACTAGTACCAGATCCGCGTTCCTTAGCTGCTCAATGATCTTCTTGGGAAAGTTATGAGCAGCGGTTCCCCAGAATGACCACTGCACATTACAGGTCTGAGGCTCTAAGAAGTGTATAGGTGTGGAAGGATGGGCAGGTGGTTGGCTGCCGAGACTAGGAGCAGGCGGTGAATAGCGCGACTCCTATAAGGCCAAAATTCTTGCAATTCTGCAAGTTGTATTTTGTTAAATCGCAGAGTTTTCGAGGCAAGGAAACTCTCCTAGTACGCTGTTTACAGAAAAGATTGACCTGTTTAGTACCTGTAAGCCTTGAACCCATATTTACCTTAAAAATGGAAAAGCCTCACTGTGCAAAAAAATATGGTGTTTGTGATCAGCAGTTTGATAATCCTTCTTAACCAAGTTATAGCCGTATCTATAACTTTCCCTCTCATGGTATACTACCGTAATTCCAAAACAAGTCACATGGAGAAAAGTATCATATTCGTGTCAAGCATCTCTATATGCATAAAACTCAAAAATTGTCTGTTTGGAGGGCATGTGCGTTATAGAAACGTGCGCCGTTCAGGAGGAAGCGGTGTTGCAAAACGATGCAGTCAGGATGAAGGACCAGTCAACGCAGGAGCCAGAGGAACGGTAGGCGCAGCTTTGGAGCGGGTGCAAGAAAGAAAAAAGGAAACTTGCCCAAGGGTGAAGAAAAGTAGAAGATTGGGAACTTAAGAAGGGTAAGTTGGACGCTTTGGAAACAATTTTGTACCTTTCGCGGCATCAGGAAACCCACGGTCCGAGTGGACCGGGCACGCCAGCTAGTTTTATCTTTAAAACGGAGTTTAGTACCATCCAGGACTTTCGAATCCTGAGGGACGATACTTAGCGTCAATTTTTGCTGTAAACAGCTTACTAGGAAAGTCTCCTTGCCTTTTCTGCGAATTGACGATTACTACTTGCAAAATTGCAAGAATTTCGGCTCCATGGGGTTCCATACTCTCCGCAGCCATCCACCCGCCCATCCGTCCAATCTGTACATTGCTTGGCGCCCAACCAGGGCTTGGCACGAAGTAGATCCCGGTACTGCAATGAAACGAAATCCCCATTGACTTTCTCAAAATTTAACGAAGTCTCCTTTGACCCTGAACCAGAATCCTAAAAAACCTCCAAAAAACTAAATGTCAACCAAAAAACGTCGCAAATTTTGTGTCTTTTCGGCCACAAAAACGAAAGCCCTTTGCTTCTTGTTCCAAAAACGATATGCAGCTTGCTTACAGGCCACCTGTGCCGAACTCTGGCCCCATCCTGTAATGTGCCTTGCTTATTCTGGAGAACCGCTGTTCATAACTTTTCCCAAAAGAACACGGATCTGGTATTAATGTTTCAAGATTAGCAGAACGATATGCATCACGTTTGGAAATCCCACTTCGACTGAGGGTCCTTCCCTCTTAAAAAGCAATCACAAAAATAGGTCCAATCTCAGCGATAAGGTCGCGAACGTCAGCAACGCGATGTCGCTAAGATTCGGCCAAACCGCGAAGATTCCGACAGGGAAAGCATGTTCTGGGAAAAACCGGTCAGCGATCAGTCGCGTCGGAAAACTATCACAACCAAAATGCGGAAAAATCGGCATGAAATGATGTTGTAACAGTTGTGTTGCTGGAAGAATCGGGAGGCGATAAAATCGCGTGATGTATGCCCAGCCCTTTAGGTTTACATTTGTTTCGAGTGGACGTTATGCTGGTCACCTGCTATTCAATACTAATTCGACGTGGGAAGATCTTCGTAGAACCGTCGTCGAAGTTCAAAGATTTAACATGTTTGGCATACCGTAAGACTAGAGCAAGCTCAACCATAACTCATAAATCGAAAAATTTTGGAGCTTTCAGATACGTAGGATCGGATATTTGCGGATACGAAGAAGACACAACTGAAGAGCTTTGCCTGAGGTGGCAGCAATTAGGAGCGTTCCATTCATTCATGAGGTAAGGTAGCCAAGGTTGTTTGAGCACAACAACATTATTTTTTTTAGAAATTTTAATGGTTATCAAAGTTCACTCTATCAATACCCTAGTCAGTGGTCCACTGTACGCGATGCAACTATAAATGCAAATCGCTTCCGTTATCGTTACATGCCTTATCTTTACAGGTGTTGGAATGATTGATATTTCGACTTGCTGCAAAGTCTTTAAAAAATCTATTTAGCCTGCATTTCAAAGTATCATTGTATGGAGGAACCGTTATCCGGCCTTTGTTCTTTGAATACCCGAAAGATCCGAACACCTACAGGGCAGATTACCAATTTCTATGGGGAAGATCAATGCTTGTTGCCCCAGTTGTTTATGAGGTGACAAATCATCGCGTTGACATATGCTTGAACATCAACAACTAAAGGGAGAGAAAAGTGTCGATGCATACGTGCCCGAGGACGACTGGTACTCCTTGTACGACTACAACTATGGCCAGAGGATCAACAGTGGACATCAAAACTTGCTTGCTCCTTGGACGTTCCATACCCCAGTTCTAATAAGAGGTATAGTAAAACTAGAAATCTACAGATAGTACGGCATGATTTGCAGGAGGTTCAATAATACCACGTCAGCACCCTGAGAAGACAACAGATAACACACGGAAAAATCCATTTGAACTTTTGATCGTTCCTGGAGGTAACTTTTGTCTCAGTCCTAATTAGGCCAAAATTATCGGAATATGCGCGCCACTACGGTTTTGCGTTAAGCCTGCGGCCCATTTGTCTGCTCATCCGTCAATCTCTTCGCTCTCTCCGACAGTGCGCATATGCAGCGCAAACCCCTAGCGCTAAGAGCGTGCGCATTAACGCCAACGGTTCAGTCTGATCCCGAATGAAGCAGACTGTACTCAGTTAAGCTTGCAATATTTCAAAACTTTATTGTTGCCTTCTTCAGAAAGGAATGGTTCGGCAAATGGTTTTCTGTACTGGGACGACGGTGAAAGCATCATTGACTCATTCGACAATCATCCATATTATTCATGGATATTCTTATTCTCGGTGAATGAAAAGGAAGCGACACTTATTATTGAAAAGCAACGCAAAGCTGCAAGTTTTTGGAGATTTCTGAGGCTTAATCTTTTCACCAAATAATCTTGCACCTAAACACGATTACATCTGCTATTTTGTTGCGACCGTTTTTTCTCCATAACTCATTAGTTGTGCAGGAATCTTTGGCAGTTCCCAAGCTTTTCAAATTGGAAATTTTCAATTACAAGTATATGCCAGAGTTTTCGACGATTACTATCAATGGTAAAAAGGTTTGTGCCGATTTTCAAGATGGAATAATCACTTTTGTTTTTGAAGTATCAATTGTTAGTCGCCTCCCATCCTTGTTCGACTTCGACAGCTGCCCGAAGATTTTTTTAGGAAAAAGTCATGAACGAGCTGTCCTATTTTAATGAAAAAGCTGGGATATTACACATTAGCTTGAGAAACAAAGTTAATTTGACATCGGTTTCTGCCAAGCTCACATGGAAAAACAAGGTAATTCTTTACGACTAAGGCTTAACTCAGACGGAATTAGTCACAAAAACATGTGAAAATGACAGCAACAACTCGGATTGTGGGCACAATTTTACAAGACCAATGTCAATACGTTGCTTTGGGACGCAAGAGACTAGCATGTATAAGAGAAATCTTATAAATTGGCGAAAAGAAGACTGTGAATTGAGTTTGGCGAGTTATATATGGAAAGCCGCATGAAACACTGCATTAATCACATAAATTTACCACACATCAATCCTTAAAGGCAGTATGTCGGCAGAATGAGACCCGTGACAAAACAACGTCACAGGGTAGGAGCCCCCATATGGAACCTATCGGCCAAAGTCCGATCTTTCTCTGCCACTTCTAACCCCCAAAATTTCAAAGCGAAAGCAGCGCTTATCTCCTGTCCTCTCCGAACCCGCCCACTCCATGAACGAGTGGCTTCCGCGGTCAGAGCGCCAGCCGCAATGCTATAAGCATTAGGTCCCGCAACGACTCTGCGTCTTCGCCATGACGGGCTTCGCGTTCTCTCGTCCATGGGGTGGGCGGGTTCGGAGAGGACAGGAGATGAGCGCTGTTTCGCCTTGAAATTTCAGGGGCTAGAAGTGGCAGTGAAAGATCGGACTTTGGCCGATAGGTTCCACATGGGGGCTCCTACCCTGTGACCTTGTTTTGTCACGGGTCTCATTCTGCCGATGTACTGCCTTTAACATAGCAAATGCCCTCTATTTATCCGTAAAAATTCCCTATACTCAAGCACAAGGTGTTTAAATATAGGGAATTTGACATCTGGTCGGCAGAGGAGAACCGACCAGATGTCAAAACCTAGGGGTCAGCAAATCGCAAACTCCCGAAATGATGTCGCCGACATGTATCGGGGTGCGAGCGCCCCGGGGTTGCCTCGTCAGCGCGGAAGCCAGGCCTTCATGGCACGGTTGGTGTGGACGTACGCGCAAGTTGGAGAAGGCGCTGCATCGATCGTAGAGTTGAAGACGGAAGTTGAACCCCACCGCTCACAAAGTCACAGCTGCGATAACTACGTGACAAATTTGAAAACTGCAGCAGATACAGCGGTGAGTGGGCGGAACAGCGCGAGGAGCGTTTTAGGACCCTTTGAAGCGCGGCGGCGGAGTCCTTTGAAAGAAGTCGCGAATACGCGACACACCGGGGAACGAGAAAGAAAGATCCGAGGTAGATCCACTATATACAGTGACCGCCAAAAAGTTGCGGACAAACCGCCTTGCTTTTTTCATCTCTCATTTTGATGGAAAACAAACGTGAAAAACTGAACGGATTGCATGAGGTGATAAAGCTCTCCGAGAGCTACAACCCACACATTGATCATTCTGGAAAACATGTATTCTAAAAACTTCAAAAAGCTTTCTCTACAAAAAGTCCGAAAATGGCCGCGTCATAATGTCGCGGACAATAATCCGCGAAAATTTTCTTTTATGTCTTTTTTGAAGCAAAAACAAAAGTTTTCCGGGCAGGTAATCATACTATATTGTAGAACTCATCGAGGACAATAATACGATAGTGGGTACTTCTAAAAAAACCCAAGCTTGAACTTTATTTTGCTTCTTTTCAAAAAATAACTTCTAATTCCCTGCTTCAAGCCAAATTTACTCACATGGAAACCAAGATATTCCAACAAAGCTATTTGGATAAAATGGATGCCCTTTGCCATATTCTATGCATCGGAAGTGTGTTGGTGAGTTTCTTTGCTGAAATGGCTTTTGACAGTGCGTGCGCCTGCACCTCACCACTGACTTGCACCACTGACTTGCACCGCTTTGCAGGGTTGTAGCTCGGCCAGCAGTCACTCTTTGAGCTTGCAGGTAGGCTCATTCGAAAGAGCGTGACTTCCTCGACACGATGGTATGCAAAATAATTGGGAATGAGAAACAGCGGAGATTTGGCGGATGGGGTAATAAAGCGCAGCTTCAGTGGTAGGCTAAGGATTTCCAGCTAAAGTTGAACAGAGCTTCTTTCGCTGCAAGTTCCATTCTGGAAGTTTAAAACTGTCAATGTTTTTGTAATAGATCCATTTCGAACCTTTAGGACTGTTATGGTGTTGATAAAAGCCTCCACTTTAATCACCTCTAACGCTGCGCTTTTTCACCCCATCCGCCAATTCTCCGCTGTTTTTCATACCCAATTATTTTGCATACTGTCGTGTCGAGGAAGTCACGCTCTTTCGAATGAGACTACTGGCAGGCTCGTAGAATGACTGTGGCGGAGCTACAACGCTGCAAAGCGGTACAAGTCAGTGGTGAGGTGCAGGTGGGGTCATGTCCCCCACTGTCAAGAGCCATTTTCAGCAAAGAAACTCACCAGCACACGTCCGATGCACAGTGTATAACAAAGAGCATCCATTTTATCCAAACAGTCTTGTTGGAATATTTTGAATGGGTTTCCACGTGAGTAAATTTGGCTTGAAGCAGGGAATTAGAAGTTATTTTTTGAAAAGAAGCAAAATAAAACTCAAGCTTGGGTTTTTTTGGAGTAACCACTACCGGATTATTGTCCTCGATACGTTCTACAATATAGTATGCTTGCCTGCCCGGAAAACTTTTGTTTTTGCTTTAAAAAAAGACATAAAAGAAAATTTTCGTGCTCGAAGAATTATTCTGCGCGACATAATGACGCGGCCATTTTTGGACTTTTTTGTAGAAAAAGGTTTTTGAAGTTTTTAGAATACATGTTTTCCAGAATGCGCAGTGTGTGGGTTGTAGCTCTCGGAAAGCTCTATCACCTCATGCAATCCAGTTCAATTTTTCACGTTTGTTTTCCATCCGAAAATGAGAGATGAAAAATGGAAGGCGACTTGTCCGCAACTTTTTGGCGGTCACTGTACCTACGACCCTACGAGTCACTATCGTGACTCAAAAAAACGGGCTAAAGGTGTTTACGTGTTTATGTGTCTGTGTGTCTGTCTGTCTGTAACAAATTCACGGAACGAGTCCCAAACAAGGTGAACCGCATTTTTTTGCACAACACATGCTGCCACCATCCAGATTCACCATGTCAAACCACGAGCAGATCTTGAATAGGTACGGCAAAATCGCACCCTAAACGGATCCACTTAACTTCTAGCGCGCAATATCGGGCCCTTATTACTACTTATTGCAAAGTCGTGATTATGCTTGGCAAGTAACTGTGCAAGCCATGGTCTTTGGCCCAAAAAGTGATGGAAGTGTATTACTCCACGAAGACGGCGCCAAGACGAATATTTGCGTAAATAGTTGATTTGCCAGGTTTTTACCAGAGTATTTGAGAAGATTTTTGCACGGAGATGTAGCTCACCGTGGATATTATCCCTATGGCGACTACCGAGCCATGAAATGATTCAAAAGTGTTTTAATTCTGCATTTGTTCTTCATCTCCCAAAGTTTTATCCACGCAAAATACCGATCTCACACGAAGAAGCTTTCGGAATGAGTAGTTGTTCACGATTTATTTGAGAAGGCGGGCATTGCGCGGTATGTTTCAATACCATGTTATGCGGGAATGAGTATGATCCATAGATAGAAGAGCCAGTGCAAGTCTCTGCGAAGCAGAGGTGACGCACTGGTACACGTAAACCTACGACTCAAGAATTTTTAGGTGTAACGCGGGACCTACAGAATGCCGTAGTAACAGCCGATTTTTTCGGGGGAAGGCGTGAGCAGTCGTCGAGGGCGCTACTCTGGACGCTGGCGATCTTCAGTTTTGGAGACGGTACAGACGTTGTTCTGGGATTGTTCACTATCCGCTTCCTGAGTACTCTGCAACGTGCGAAGAAGTGCTTCAGCGTCGGCCTGATGTTGATCCATACCGTGCTCTTCCTCGAACCTGCTGTACGCTTGCTGACCCGTCGGCGTTTTAAGATGGTAACATGGTGGAGAGGTACATAGCGACGTTTACGCAAAAGTGAAAGTGCTGATCTCAGACTCACTATATAAAGCTGTGTGGCTGCCTGACGTTGCTGGAGCTGATGAAGTTGCTCAACAGCTGGGGCGTCAGACACGCATGAGGTAAGCAAATCGGAACTTCTTGCCCTAACAGCTTTCAAATCCTCAATGGCTTTGACGACCTTCGAAATTTAGTATTCTATCAGGTCATATCGATCGATAGTACGCTGAAGTTGTTGGTAGCTTGCAGGAGGTAGTAACCGCTAATGCAAAGCTTGGAATTGCACTCCATGAATGTGTTTGATGGGGGTGAGACCATTTCGCGACGTAGTCACACAAATGGTGAATATGAAACACGAGTGAAACGAAAGAAGGGCAACAAGCAACGACCTAGACTCCCAGATGTTAGAGAGTGCCAACAGCCAAGAGAAGTATCGATCGCAAGGGGGCAAAAAATAACTAGCTGAGTAGCCACAAGTCACGGAATGAAGAATGTGAGGAAGAACGAGCATGTACTTTCATTCAGAAAACATACAAGGTTCTTTCGTCGGCGTGTTAGCGTGTTTTAAAGCAGACAGAGCTTTCTGACAAGGATCTCATTGGCTACAAAGAAACCCGGTCGTCAGAAGGCACCAGACAGTTCCGAACAGTAAGCAAGGCGTAGATTGCTGCTGCCATCCAGGTTTACGCGATCACCCTACTCCCAACCTAAGTGGAATTGTGGGTAATTGTGCACGCGCCTCAGCCTAGTCGCGAAGGAGTTTGCTGACAACAAAAAATGAGTCCTCTAAGAAACCACAAGATAC